CATAGAAACTGGACACGGACAGACCTGTCTGTACAGAGAGGACAGGCTCAGTGACCACAGCCTGGCCATAGAAGGAAACGAAGAGCTGCAGTCTGGTAAACAATCTCCTGTCACAGCCTGAGGAAAAGGGACAGACCTTCTCAAATATTAGTTAGTGTTCCAAATATTTGTAAATATTTCATTAATCGCTCTTCCTTGGCAACACTGCAGTTTATCAGTCATGCCAATAAAGCTCTTTGTGAGATCAGAGAGCGGTGTTCAGGGCACCGTTTATGAGCCCTCTCAGTGCTGGCCAGGCTGCCCCCTCAGATTCCACCCTGAAGCTTCAAGCCCAGGATCGGGGAGTCCTGAACCCCACCTTCAAGCAGAGAGTTAACGCTCATTTCCAACCTCTTACTCCTCGGGAGCCAAAGAAGATTTTTTAAAGGCAAACTGTATTTAATCAGGCATTGGTAGAGGTTCATTCTGCACCAAATGTTAAAAAAACAAAACAACTTTTATATAGGAATAAAAAGTAAAAGAAATAAGAATAGGAGCTGTATCGATAAAAAAAAAAAAAGGGACTGTCTTTCATATAAAATATAAAACCGAGATCCTGACTCTCCAGGGCCATTAAAACTCCCAGGGTGTTGCTCAGGAAGAGTAGGGGTGTAACCACGGTGTCCTGGCCACATTTCCCCCCGGCCTTTACCAGTCATGGCCTCTGAATAACCCCCATCTCTGACCTGGCCTCATCACGCTGTTCTCCTCCCCAGTGATGGTGTGTGTGGGTGTACAGGCACGTTATCTAGGTGAGAGGAATGGAGTCCACATTACCCGTAAAGCAGAAGTGTGGTGTGTCCAGAAAAGCGCTGTGTAAGTGTAAGGATTATGATGATGATGATGATGATGAATAGGCTCCCTCCTGGAACCTCCTCAGTGCGGATCCTGGATTTGGCTTCTTTTTCCTCATTCCCTGTGTCGCTCCCCTGTACTGCCATGGCTCCCGACGGTGTGGTGTGGTGTGGGGGTTCAGCAAGCTTGGGGAAAACTGGAAGGCGGGGGGGGGGCTCGGCCCGCATGGCTGGGACAGGCTAGTCTGGGCTCAGCTGTGGCGCGGCGCCGGCAGTGGGCACACCTGTGCGCCTGGCAAGGGGCCATGGTGTCTGCCGCGGCCCCTCCCAGCTCTTGCCTGTCTGGCGCCCCGTCCCCACAGCTGCTACCTGGGGGCGTTTGGGGAATTTAAAAAAAAAACGTGTTGAGTGTCTTCAGGTTTTATTCCCCACCTCGCCCCACCCCTCCTGCTGAAGGCTGCTTTTCAGTTCTGCTATGGACAGGCCTCTCTTTGCCATATGATTTCAACCAAAACGAGTGTTCTGGAAGGTTACAGGAGGAAAGGTGTTCTGGGCAATAAATGGAGACTTGCTGTTATCATAGCAACCCTGCTAACCATCTGCTAACTGCTTCACCCGGTTCGGGGTCGTGGGAGAGTCGTTGTGTTGCATCCCAGCAAGCAACAGGCAAAAGGCAGAGTACACCCTGGACGGGACGGGACCAGTCCCTCACAGGGCGCGCACACACACACACACACACACACACACACACATCAGGACCAATTTTACCAGTTACCCCAGGAGAATTGAGCCCAGGGTCCTAGTGCTGTGACCAATGTGCTGCCCTGCGTATTATTTGACTGGAGCTACTGTAATCTGACACTAGTGAATTTAGAGCCACAGTTCGAGCTCATTTCACTCCATATGATGGGGGGGGGAGCGAGAGTGTATTGACTTAACCCGAGTCGTTTTCAGAGGAGTCGGTGCTGCAGGAGCAGTCCTGCTGAGGGTGGGGGATTGTATGAGGATCTGAGAGCTGGATGTCAAGACCCTTATTAATTATTAGGGATGAAATCCTCCTCAGGGCCTATCACCATTTAACACCATGTCGCCTGTGCCCACGAGCACCATTCGGTATGTTTGCACAGGAGTTTTACTTCCTTAGCCAGGATGAAAATGTGGTGAGTGTGTAACTCCCCCGGGGGTGAAGCCCTGGAACTTCAGAGGAAAGAGGAAGATTCGGTAGGAGAAGTCAGTTCTGCGTGGCCCTCAAGGGGTTAAAGGTCCAAATGGGACAGGTTGTCACGCGCTGGGCTGAAGCCCGTCAGCGGCTCGGTCGACAGCTTGGCCACGCTGGATCTCTGAGTGTAGTTGTTCCTCTTGCTCACCAGAGGGCGCCGCTTCCCCGCGCTGCTGCTGCTGCTGCTGCTGCTGCTGCTGCTCGACCGCCTGTCTAGCATAGTCTGCCATGGGTAAGAAGAATCAGCGGCGTCTAGACGAGGAGGAGGAGTCGTCCGAGGAGGAAGAGTATGTGGTGGAGAAGGTGCTGGACCGTCGGGTCGTGAAGGGGCGTGTGGAGTACTTCCTCAAGTGGAAGGGCTTCTCAGAGTAAGACGGTCTCTCTTTCACCCCCCCTCTTCCGCCTGTTTCGCCCTCCCCCCTCCCGGCTCGCTGGCGCTCTCCTTTCTCCTGGGTTTTATTTTTGGCATCCCGGTTCTTCCTGTGTGCCTCCTCTCCCCTCTCCTTTATGGCTCCTGATGAGAAATTTGCTTTGCAGGCAGGTAAAAGGCAGAACCCAGTACACGGGACATTTACCAGAACGTGAACGCATTAACAGGTAGAAACGTACCTTTCTAAAGGGGAAAAAAAAAGCATAAATTGATTAAAATCTAGAGTAGACCAGATCACTTTATTGGCCATAAGCAATTTCATGTATTAGGAATTTGTCTTTTCGCATACCCCA